AAGGGACTGTGGGTGTGACAATATCTATACGCATTTTGAAATGAGCTGGTTTGAGATCTGTGTGAAGCATTCAATGTCCCCATTGGGGTTTCTTTGCAGGCATGGCTGCAGTACAATCATTGCCAGCAGGAACTTGCAGAGAGTAACTGAGGTGAGTAGCTGGGAGTCTGGTGGAGTAGGAACTGGAGATCCAAGAACATTCTTGCATATGTCCAGAGACCCCAGACTAAAATAGGGGCAGTAAGGCATGGTGTACTAAATACCATCAGATCCGGGATCATCATACCATAATTCCCCCCTTAGAGAAGTAATAGAGGAGGGAAGATAAGAGAGCGCAGAAGCAGATGGCAGTGCTGGCTGCAGCACTCTCCAGCAACCAGAGGCCGGACCATAAGGGGCCCCCTCAGAAAGGAAGGGGACGGGTAGCAATATATAATGTGGCTGTGATGTACAGTCAAATGTTGGGGGGATTATAAATTAAGGTGATTACACAGCAAATACAATAATATTGAACTATTTTGATTTTGCAGAATTTTATAATTTTAAAACTATTTTTAACATTTCAAAATCCCAGAACTACTTGTATACTATACAAAGGTGAATGTTTTGATGTTAACTATTTTTCCCTTTTTATGGATCTTAAAATGACTAATTAGGGAAAGGAGAAAGTGCATGCTCTCTTTGTATGGGTTTATTAATAGAGAAGGTTACACTGGTTTTACATTTGAAAAAAAATAGATTTAAGAACTAAATATTGAAAGTGTGACACTTTACACTTACATTTTTAATATTTTCATCTGAGAAACTAAAGCACTTTTCAGACATTAAACCGCATAACAAACCTAAGAAGATGGTAAGTACTGTCTTCGATTTACAGATGGAGAAATTGAGGCACAGAAAGGAAGTGGCTTGCTCAGGATTATCCAGTTGAACTAGTAGCAGAGCTAGGAATGGGACTCAGATATCCTGGGTTCCAGTACACAGTAAGGACTAATCTTTCATTGAGGATGGACTACATAGGACCTAGCAGAGGTTTTTTTGGAAGGGAGATAGAAAGAATAAAATTCTAGAAAGCAGAGAAAGAAAAAGGCCTCTCAGACTTAACTAGGAGTGAGGAAGATGCCTTAAACTGAACAAGTTTGTTAAATTGAGCTTTATTTTATTTCACTTGAATCAAGCCTCTAATTGTGAGTGGCTAATTTTCATGCAGATTCATAAAGTAACTGCAGAACATACAATGTAAATCAGCATCTGCTTCACCCTGCATAGAATTCATTGAGAGAGTTTGGGTCTGGATCTTTATTCTAGGGAGGGAATTGGGGTAACTGATGGGCTGCTTAAGCTGTGTGGCATTGCAAAACTGAGCAATTGAAAAATCGTGAGTTGGGCTAAAAAAAAAAAACACAAGATTTTTAAAAGTACTGAATGTTGGGTTCGTTCTTGTATTTGCCTTTTGGGTCACTAAGTCATGTTTTCAAACTTTTTTTCTGCAATTGTGAGAGCTGGAAACTTCCTTGTAATGTATTTCTGAGAGTCTCTTGAAATCACCTGACTCCAGGAGCTGGGCTTAAAAAGAAACATCAAATGTTGTGAGACTTGCGCTAAAATTGCAAGAGTTGGCAACATGGCAAGTCATGTGCATATATCAGCTCATTGTGATTTGCACTTAGTTAATTGTTTGAAGTTGCTGTGGGAAGGTAGAAAGGCCAACAAGCTTTAAAAAAAAAAAAAAAAAAGTCCTGAAACTGTCAGGGGCAAAGGCAGCAGCCCTACCTCCCCAGACCAGGGGGTGAAGCTGTTCTCACCTTGCTCATGGTGATGCTGCTATAGCTGAGGAGCATATAGGCTCTGTCCATTTCCTCGTTCCCTCACCTGCCCCATGCTCACTGGCTCCACGCCTTGGTTTTTCCCACAGCAGCAGCATGTAGGGCTCTGCCAAAGTTGTGGCTCCTCAGGAGAGGTGGCATGTAGATCAAGGGCAGCCTGGCTCTGTGGTCTGCCAGTACCTTGCTGGCTTTCCAGCAGCTGTGATTGCAGGCAAGCATCTGTGCGCAGAACATTCCCTGTAGGATCTGTCCCCCAGCTGGGGCCTGGAGTAGGGGAAGATGAGCTGCAGGATCCAGCCTGAAAATATGGGAGCCCCAACTGTACTTTAGGGATTTCCTTTTTGGGTCCAGCCTGATCTGCAGGACTCTAGCCATGAGCAGTCTCCCAACTCAGCCCTGCCATCTGCCCTGGGAGGATGGTGGGGGAGAGAGAGGAAGAGAGAAATAGTATGGTGAGGAAAGATACAGAGAGGAAAGACACATGGCAGGGAGAGGGATCTGCAGGCTCAGGAGCTGCTGGAGGAGACATGGAAATGGCTGGGCAAAGAACCTTTAGGGCTGAATGAATCATATGAGCAGGGATGAGCAAAATATGGTCCGCGGGCTACATGTGGCCCACAGCTCAGTGGGAACCTCAGCCAGGCTCTCTGCCCCACCCCCTCTTTCACCCCTCTGCACAGTGCTCAGAGCAGCAGCTGCAGGGGCCATGTGTGCTTCTCTGAGTGCTGTG